CCCCATCCCCATTCCCTCCTACTTACCCATCCCATTCCTCACTTACCAATCAACCTGTCCCCTCCTATCACCATACCCGTCCACTCCTAATCCCAATCCCTTCCCCCCTATCCCATCCCGTCCCTCCATATACAAAGACCCGTTCCCACCAATATACACATGCACTGTACCCCTCCTATCCAAGCCCCGTACCCCTCCCTAGCAACCCTCCCCATTTCAACTACCTGATACCCAGTCCACATTCAGCACGAGTCCCCATCCCCGTACCCGACCTATCCCATACCCGTTCCCTCCATATTCAAATCACGGTTCAATCCATGTCCCAGCCAGATACACCATCCCCACTTACCTCCCTATCCCTCCCCATTCCCTCCTATCCCCATCCCCGTTTCCCCTCCCTATCCCCATCCCCATTCCCTCCCTATCCCCATCCCTGTCCCCTCCCCATCCCCGTCCCTGTCCCCTCCCTATCCCCATCCCCGTCCCCTCCCTATCCCCATCCCCATTCCCTCCCTATCCCCATCCCCGTTCCCTCCCTATCCCCATCCCTGTCCCCATCCCTGTCCCCTCCCTGTCCCCTCCTGTCCCCTCACTGGTTGACTCTGCGTTTGAGGTTCTCCAGCTGCTGCCTCTCGGGGCGGGGCATCCCTGTCCCCTCCCTATCCCCCTCACCATCCCCTCCTATCCCCATCCCCATTCCCTCCTATCCCCATCCCCATTCCCTCCCTATCCCCATCCCCATTCCCTCCCTATCCCCATCCCCGTTCCCTCCCTATCCCCTCCCTATCCCCATCCCCGTCCCCATCCCCATCCCCTCCCTGTCCCCTCCTGTCCCCTCACTTGTTGACGTTGCGTTTGAGGTTCTCCAGCTGCTGCCTCTCGGGCCCCGTCAGCATCTCCTCCACCTCCCGCAGCTGCTCCTCCTCGGCGCCCGTGGCCTGCATGGAGGCCAGGATGGCTTCCACCCGCTGGGACTTCTCCAGGAGCCTCCTGCCAGGGGACAGGGACACGGGGACGCGGTGCTGGCGGCTCCAGACCCCCCCCTTGGACCCGCTGAGCCCCCGGTCCCGGCGCGGCGCTCACTTGTTCTCCCGCGTCTCGTGCTGCCGGCGCTCCATCAGGTTGGCGGCGCTCTGGGGGCAAACAGGGGCGTTGGGGGCACTGGGGGGGACACGGGGACAGGGGCACTGCCACCTCTGGGACACCCGGACACTTGGACATTGGAGCAGGAGCTCTGGGGATACAGAGCCAGTGAGCCCCCCAGCCCAGGGGTGTTGGGGGACACCAGGGAACCTCCTGGGGGGACACGGGGAGGGTGGCACTGCCACCTCTGGGACACCTGGACACTGGACACTTGGATTCTGGAACTCTGGGGATACAGAGCCAGGTGAGCCCCTCAGCCCAGGGGTGTTGGGGGGACCCCACACTCACAAAAACCCAATGGGGGAACTGGGGATGTGTTGGGGGCACCGGGGAACCCCATGAGGGGACATGGGGACAGTGGCACTGCCACCCCTGTGGCACCAGGAAGGAGGGGACTGTGACACCTGGACACTTGGACATTGGAACAGGAGCTCTGGGGATAAAGAGCCAGGTGAGCCCCCCCAGCCCAGGGGTGTTGGGGGACACCAAGGGACCCCACACTCACAAAAACCCCATGAGGGGACACGGGGACGGTGGCACTGCCACCCCTGGTGGCACCAGGAAGGAGGGGACTGTGACACCTGGACACTTGGATACTGGAGCAGGAGCTCTGGGAATACAGAGCCAGGTGAGCCCCCCAGCCCAGGGGTGTTGGGGGGACCCCACACTCACAAAAACCCCATGAGGGGACGCGGGGACGGTGCCGCTGCCACCACCCCTGGTGGCACCGGGAAGGAGGGGGCTGTGCCACCTGGATTCCCTGGGAATTCCCGCATGGATAGGCCGGCCTGGCCGATGTTCAGGTGCTGGGCACCCACCTTGTAGCAGCGGTGCAGCAGCATCCGGGCGGCGGCCGCCACGTTCACCGTGTACAGGTAGAAGGTGCGGGAGGGAGCGTGGTCCGGAGTCTTGGGAATCTCCTGTGGGAAGGAGAGGGGCAGGGACCAAGCTAAGGGGGTCCCCCTCCCCACAGGTGTCCCTGGTGGGACCCCCTCTCCCTCCCCAGAGGTGTCCCTGGTGCCAGCTCCCAGGCAGGATCACCTGGAAGCGCCTGGAAACCCCCGGCCAAGCTATTCCAGCCGGGGGAATCTCCCGGATTCCGGAGTTTCCCTCACCTGCAGGGACACCAGGTTCTCCGAGAGCATCCTGTAGAGCATGTCCTTGGCCTCCTTGGCCGGGATCATGGCAAAATCCTCCACCTGCTTCTGCTCCAGGTGCTTCTTGCGCAGGAGCAGGCGGAAGATCCGGGCGCAGCGGGAGCCGAACCTGGGCGGGAAGAGCGGGATGAGGAGGGATTGTGGGAAGGGGGCCCCTGGAAAAGCCTGGGAATATCCCAGGTCCCCCTGTCACCTCTCCTCCACGATGGACTCCAGCGTGGCCGTGGCCAGAGACGCCAGGGCCTTGTGCAGGTCTGCGGGGTGGGGGGGGGCGAGGTCAAGGAGAAAATTCCAGAGCTTGGGAATGTTTCAGGCCTGGGAACACCAAGTGTGTCCCCCCCCTCTCCAAAGGATACTGACGGTGTAGGTGCCCCCACCGCTGTCCCCAGACTTCCCCACGAACTCCAGCTGCAGGGAGAGACAACAGGGGAAGAGGTCAGGACATCCCCAGAGAAGGAAAACATGGTTGGTTTTTTCCTGTAAAATCTGGAGTGGGAAGAAAAAAAAACCAGAGATTTTGGGAAAAGAAAAAAAAAAAAATCTACGACTTCAACAAATAGTGACACTTTCAAAGGCTTTTAAATCCCTTTAATATCTTATAAATATCTTCAGTGACTGTTAAATACCTTCGGGATCTGTTAAATAACTTTCAAATATCCTCAGTGACCAAAATTTTAGGTCTCTTCAATGGATTTTGAGTAACTTCAAAATATTTGGAGTCACTTCAGTGTTTTTTTAAGTAATTTTGGCATCTTTTCTGAATATCATCAATATGTTTTAAATATCTCTCCAGTAACTTTTAAGTATTTTTGGTGTCTTTTAAATACCTTCATCATCTTTTGAGTATCTTCAATGTCTCTTAAATATCTTTGGACCCTGTTAAATACCTGTTTAAATAATATCTATTAAATAACCTCAATATCTGTTCAGTATCTTTGATATCTCTTCAAAGCCTTCAGGATTTGTTAAATAACTTCAGTATCTGTTAAATATCTCTAATATCTGGTAACTAACTCCAATATCTGTACAAAAACTTCAGAATTGGTCAGTGTCTGTTAAAAACCGTTAACTCTCAGTAAAACCCGCTTTCCCCTCGGAGAGCAGAGCGAATTCCATGGAAGCATGGAATGCCAGAGGCTGGAAAAGCCCTGGAGAGCCCGGGGGTGAACAGACAGAGCGAATTCCATGGAAGCATGGAATGCCAGAGGCTGGAAAAGCCCTGGAGAGCCCGGGGGCACCCACCGGATCATCAGCCAGGAGTGCCAGGTACTGGTCCAGGACCTGCTTCCCGATGTTGTACCCGGCAGGAAGAGCCCGGAATATCTACGTGGGAGGGAAAAAAAAGCAGGGAATGTCAAAGGCATTCCAAGGGATTCCCAGCACTCCAGGAGGCTCCCAAGGACCCACCTCGTTGGAGGAGAGGGGCTGGGTGTGGGACGCGCCCGAGGCCGTGGTCACCTCGCTCATGCGCAGCATCGTCCGCACCACCTCGCTGCTGGTCTGCAGGGGGGAAAACGGGGGGGAAAACGGGGGGAAAACGGGATTCAGGGCAGGGAAAAGCCCGGATCCGGAGCGGGAATGGGGGGGGGAGAGCCAGACCTGGTCCATGCGACTGCTCACGGCGCTGACCAGAGCCTGGTCACGGAAGTGCTGGTGGAAACGCTCCAGGTTCACCTGCCAGTAAATGCCGTCGTCCGGAGGGGGCTGAGGGGGGAAAAGGGATAAGAAATGAGGGGAAGGGGGTGGGAAAGCTGAGGGAGAGGAGGCATGAAGCTGGTGGAAAGGAGGCAGGAAAAAAATGAGGAAAAGGAGGCACAAAGCGGTGGGAAATTAAATGGAAATAGGGGAGAAGAGATGGGAAAATGAGGGAATGAGGTAGGAGAAAGAAGCGGTAAAAAGTGAGGGAAAGGAGGCACAAAACTGAAGGAAATGGAACATAAAATTAAGGGAAAAGAGATGGGAAAACGAGGGAAATGAGGCACAAAAAAAGGAGGAAAAGGTGCCACCAAACTGAGGGAAATGAAACAGAAATAAGGGAAAAGAGAAAAAGGAGCCGCAAAGCTGAGGGAAAAGGGGCAGAAAAAGTTTGAAGGAAAGGAGCCAAAATAATGAGGAAAAGGGGCTACAAAACTGAGGGAAATGAAACACAAAAATAAGGAAAAAGAGATGAAAAAATGAGGGAGATGAGGCAGGAAAAAAGAGCAATCAAAAGTGAGGAAAAGGGGTCACAAAACTGAGGGAAAAGAGGGGCAAAAAAAATGTGGAAGAAGAGTCACAAAACATTAGGAAAAGAAGCCACAAAAAATGTGAAAGAGGAGCCCAAAAAAAGAGAAAAAGGAGCCACAAAACTGAGGGAAATGGGGCAGAAAAAGTTTGAAGGAAAGGAGCCAAAAAAATTAGGGAAAGGGGCCACAAAACTGAGGAAGAGGAGCCAAGAAAAGTGAGGAAGAGGAGCCAAGGAAAGTGAGGAAGAGGAGCCAAGAAAAGTGAGGAAGAGGAGCCAAGGAAAGTGAGGAAGAGGAGCCACAAAAGATGAGGAGGAAGCAGCAGAAAAACGAGGAAAAGGAACCACAAAAAATGAGGGAAAGGGCTCACAAACCCCCCTGGTTTCTCCAGTTCAGGAATATGCCCATCCCACCCTTCCCAGGCCCCGATTCCCAGCCCCAGAATTCCAGGTACCTCCGAGCTTCCTCCCTCCTGCTTCTGCCTCTTGGCCTTGCGCTGCCCGTCCTCTTCCTCGTCGCACGAGCGTCTCCGCTTCCCTTTCCCTGCCGAGCCAAAAACCCGGCGTCTCCCACCCGGAATGGCGGGGCCGAGCGCTTCCCGAGGCCCCCGAAATCCCGGGAATCCCCTCACCGGCGAGGCTGAGCCGCGGCACGACGTACATGTCCCTCTCGGCGATGGCCAGGGCGGGCGCGGGGGGCGGCGGCTCCGCGGCGTTCCAGGGGTTTTCCGGGACCATCGGGCACCTCCGGATGAAGTGGGTGTCTGCCAGGCGCACGAACGTGCCGGACACCTCGGCGTAATCCATGGTCTTCCCATCTAGGGGGGAGAGGAGCCGTGGAGCGGGTGGATATCTGGGATAGTCCCGGCGCCACGGTCACCACGACGAGCGTCAACACCCCCCAGACCCTCTGGGACCACCTTCCCAAACCTGCTCCCAGATCCCTGTTTTCTAAAGGGAGGAGCTTCCCACCCTCCATGGTCTCCATCAGCCTTTCCATGACCGGATCCAGGATGTTCCTGAGGCTCTGGAGGATGTGGTGACACTGTGGCCACCACCACGACCTGGCCATGAACACCCCCCAAAGCCTCTGGTCCCACATTCCCAAACCTGCTCCCAGATCCCTATTTTTCTAAGGAGGAGCTTCCCACCCTCCATAGTCTCCATCAACCGGATCCAGGATGTTCCTGAGAGTCTGGAGGACACGGTGACACCACCACGACCTGGTCATGAACATCCCACAAATCCTCTGCTCCCACATTCCCAAACCTGCTCCCAGATCCCTGTTTTCTAAAGGGAGGAGCTTCCCACCCTCCATGGTCTCCATCAGCCTTTCCATGACCAGATCCAGGATGTTCCTGAGGCTCTGGAGGACACGGTGACACCACCACGACCTGGCCATGAACACCCCACAAATCCTCTGCTCCCACATTCCCAAACCTGCTCCCAGACCCCTATTTTTCTAAGGAGGTGTTTCCCACCCTCCATAGTCTCCATCAGCCTGTTCATGACCGGATCTAGGATGTTCCTGAGGCTCTGGAGGACACGGTGACACCGTGGCCACCACCACGACCATCACACCCCATGGAGCCTCTGGTCCCACATTCCCAAACCCGCTCCCAGATCCCATTTTTTTTAAAGGGAGAAGCCTCCAACCCTCCATAGTCTCCATCACCTCTATCTCCATGGTCTCCATCAGCCAGATCCAGGATGTTCCTGAGCCTCTGGAGGATGTGGTGACACCACGACCTGGCCATGAACACCCCCCAAATCCTCTGCTCCCACATTCCCAAACCTGCTCCCGTTTTTTTTTCCAGGGAGGACCTTCCCTCCCACCTTCCATGGTCTCGGTGAGGCGATCGGCCACCCTGGCCACGGCGCAGCTCATGGAGAGGTGGCCGTGGAGCAGCAGCTCCTCCACCAGCAGCTCCCCGGGGTCCCCGTAGAGCGTCTTGGCCGTGTAGATGTAGCGGGGGTAGCGCAGGATCCGCAGGATCCGCTCGCTCCGCGCCTCGTATTCCACGGAGCCGCGGGGCTGCACCTCGTACCGCACCAGGTCGTGCTGGAGCAGGACACAAAGGGCCTTCTTCACCTGTGGGGGGGAGCGGGAAGGTTGGGATCCCACTTTTTCCCCTGCCCAGATCCCCGTTTTCCTCACGGAGAACCCGAATTTCCCTCCTCCTTCCTTTTCAGGGGAACACAAACCTCCCGCTCTGGAAAAATTCCCCCTTCCTGATTTATTTCATTTGAAATGCCTTGTCCTTCTCCCCCCATCTATCCCTGTCCCTGGATTCTTTTGCTCTCTACACAGCACCAGTTTCCCTCCTCCTTCCTCAAGTTTTCCAGGGCCACACGAACCTCCCACTCTTGATTTATCTCATTAAAAATTCCTGTCCTTCTCCACGTTTTCCCACCGGTTTATTCCCATCTTTCCTCCCTACAGAGCCTCAGAGTTTCTCTCCTCCTTTCCAAAGAAGTTTTCCAGGGAGATACAAACCTCCCACTCCAGAAAACCCTCTGAGTTACTGTTATTAAAAATTCCTCGTCCTTCTCCAGGTTTTCCCACCGGTTTCCCCCTCTGGTCCCCTCCCACCCCGTACCTGATCCGGGAGCAGCCCCGTGTCGCCCACCAGGAGCCGCAGCGGCCGCGGGCCCGTCCGGAGCAGGGAATTCCCGACTTTCTCCACGATCTCCCCGAAGTGCTCCTGGAGCAGCAGGGAGCAGAGCCGCAGCTCCGCCTGCGTCATCCCGGCGGCTCCCAGGAATTCCAGGAACGTGGTGGGGAAAGAACAGCTGTGGGGGGGACAGAGAGGGGACAGATGTTGACCCGTGTCCCCGGGACAGATGTTGACCCCCCCCCGGGGTTCTCTGTGTCCCCTCCTGGGGGAAATCAGCCGTGTCACAGGGATCCCGGCGCCCCTCCCCCCCCTCTTCAGGTGGGATCTCCCCTCCTCCCCCCCTCAGGGGTCCCGGGCCCTCCCTGCTCTCACCCCCAGACCTGGCCTAGGCCGCAACCGCCGCCATGGCAACGACCACTTCCGCTTTCCCCTCCACTTCCGCTTCCGCCACTTCCGCCGCCGCCGCCGCCGCCGTCCCTCCTTGGGAGGCCCCACAGCAGGGGGCGCACTGCGCGCCGCTACCCCCGCGGGGCCGCTCTATCCTCGCGCCCTCGCTCTCCGCGATGGGAGCGGAGCAGACGAGCTGAGCGGAAGCGCGAGCCGCTCTGGGCCGCGCTCTGTGGCCCCCCCGGAGGAGTGACGGCGGGCGAAGATGGCGGAGGCGGCGGCGGTGCCGCAGCACCGGTTCTTCTGCCACAGCTGCAAGGGCGAGGTCAGCCCCAAGCTGCCGGTGAGCCCCGGGCGGGAGGGGGACTCGGGGGAGCTCCGAGCTGCCGGTGAGCCCCGGGCCGGGGGGGGGTGGGAGGGTCCGGCAGGCGGGGATGACCCCCCAGTCCTTCCCTGAGGCCTCAGAGGAAGGGGTGACCCCCCTGCTCCCCTCAAAGGTGACCCCCTCCCCCTCAAATCCCTGCAGGAAGGGGTGACCCCCCTCCCAATGCCCGACTCTTCGGTGTCTCCAGCCCCCCCGAATCCCTTTAGGGACCCCCCAGCCAAGGGGGGACTCCCCATCCTTCCTCCTCCCCGTGCTGGGCCCCCCCCAAAACCTCCCGAACCTGCAGGGAGGGAGCGACCCCAAAATCCCCCCACGGAACAGGATCGGCGACCCCAAAATCCCGCCCCCCATCCCAGATCTCAGACTGGGATTTGGGATAATCCCATTCCCATCCCGCTCCCTGAGCGGTCCCAACATCCTGACAGGGTGGGAATTGCCAACCTGCTCCTAAATTTTCCCAGTTCCTATTCCCTGCGGCTGGGAAGAGAAGGTTTGGGAAGGGAAGGTTTGGGAAGGGAAGGTTTGGGAAGGTTTGGGAAGGGAAGGTCTGGGAAGGAAGGGAAGGGGAGTTTTTGGGAAGGAAAAGGCTGGGAACAAGAGAAAGGAAGGGAGTCTGGGAAGAGCCAAACGTTTGGATAGTCTGGAATGATGTGGGATGCTCAGAGCTGGGATGGGATAACTCTGGATCGGGATGGGGTGGTGGGAACTGAGGTGGGATGCTCTGGAATCGAGGTGGGATAGTTTGGAATGAGCTGCTTTGCTTAGGGAAAAATTGGGAAAGCGAGGCTGTTTGAGGTGTGGGGATGGTCCTGCGTATTCCCAAGGAAATAGAGATCCCGTGGGATAAGGATCCAGAGGTGAACAGGGGCTGGGGCTGGAAAAACAGAGCTGGAATCTCCTGGAAGCAACAGAATCCGTGGCTGAAGCCGGAGCTGCCGGGGTTGGGTTACCGGGAGGTGTCACCTGCGCTGGCTCCGGAATCTGATCCAGCTGGGAATGCACAGGAAGGAGCTGGAGCAGCCAGGGCGGGGGCTGGGCTTTGCTTCCCACCTCCTCCAGAGCAGGATTTGGGACTGGGATGCCGATGGGAACGGATCTGGGGAAGCACACGAGGAAGGGTTTGGATGGAGATCCCACAAAACTGAGAAAGGCGGACTTTGGGAATGCTTGAGGGGGGGGGGGGGGGAGGGAATCTGGGAAAGAAAAAAGGAATGTTCTGATCCGGCAGGGATCAGCTCTGGATGGAAAAGTGGGATTTGGGAACACTCCAGCTGTGGGATGGAATCCAGGGAAGGAAAGATCTGGGAGAGAGAATCCAGGAGGGAAGGTGTGAGGGGGGGAACTTTTTGGTTTTTCCATGTTTTTCCCCGAATTCAAGGCAACCCACAGCTCTAGGAGAGAGAGAATGAGAGCAGGGAAAACTTTTCCATTCTGAAGGGATTTTCTCCCATTGGCTCTTCAGCTCCCGAGCACCCAAATCCCTTGGGATTGGGATTGGGATCGGGTGGGATGAGCTGGTGGGCAGCCAGGATCGGGAATCTTCCTGGGAGGGAGCTGATTTTCCCTGGAATCCCGAGTATCCCGTGGCTAATCCCAACTCCTTGTCTTCCCAGGAATACACCTGCCCCCGCTGCGAGTCCGGCTTCATCGAGGAAGTCACTGATGATTCCAGGTACCGGAAAATCCAGGGATATCCCAGAGCTGGGCACGTGGAGAGACAACAGGGAGATGAAGTGGGAAAAATGCCATATTTTGGTCTTTTTCCCCCCCCCCCTTTTTGCTCTTTTTTTGCACCTTTTGGTCTTTTTTTTTTTACCCTTTTTCGTATTTTTTTTGTTACTCTTTTTCATATTTTTTTTTTACCCTTTTCTGATTTCTTTTACCCTTTTTTGTATTTTTTTTTACCCTTTTTCCTATTTTTTTTGCCCTTTCGGATTTTTTTTCTTTTTTTGGAGGTTAAAAGCACCCTTTTTGATTTTTTTTTCCATGTTTTTTCCTCCTTTTTAGTCTTTTTTTCCCCCTCTTTTTTTTTTTTTACCCGTGTTGATATTTCTTTTTGCCAAAAAAACACCATCCCTTTTGGGTCTTTATTTTTTTTTTCCCCTTTTGGGGTTTTTTTTTGCTGAACAACCCACCTTTTTAGTATTTTGGCTTTTCCCATTTTGTGTTTTTTTTTACTTTTTTTACTCTATTTCTCACCCTTTTTGATATTTAAAAAAACCCCAAAACCCTTTTTTGCTCTTTTTGGCCCTTTTTTTAACCTTTTTTTGTATTTCTTTAACTTTCTTGAATTTTTTTAACTTTTTTGTATTTTTTAACCTTTTTTGTATTTTTTAACCTTTTTTTTGTATTTTTTAAATCTTTTTTTGTATTTTTTAACCATTGCATTTTTTAACCTTTTTCTTTGTATTTTTTAACCTTTTTCTTATTTTTTAACCTTTTTTTTGCGTTTTTAACCTTCTTTTGTATTTTTAACCTTTCTTCGTATTTTTTAACTTTTTTTTGTAATTTTTTAACCTTTTATTTTTTAACCTCTTTTTCTATTTTTTTAACCATTTTTTTGTATTTTTTAACCTTTTATCTTTTTAACCTTTTCTGTGTTTTTAACCTTTTGTATTTTTAACCTTTTGTATTTTTTAACCTTTTTTATGTATTTTTTTGTATTTTTTTTTTATCCCTTCTGGGGGGATTCCGGGAAACAAAACAGGGATTTGGGAAGGCTGGGGACGGTTTTGGGAGCACGGGAGGGATTTTTGGGAGCACAGGAGGGAATTTTTGGAGCACAGGAGGGATTTTTGGGAGCACAGGAGGGATTTTTGGGAGCACAGGAGGGAATTTTGGGAGCACAGGAGGGATTTTTGGGAGCACAGGAGGGATTTTTGGGAGCACAGGAGGGAATTTTGGGAGCACAGGAGGGATTTTTGGGAGCACAGGAGGGATTTCTGGGAGCACAGGAGGGATTTTTGGGAGCACAGGAGGGATTTTTGGGAGCACAGGAGGGATTTTTGGGAGCACAGGAGGGATTTTTGGGAGCACAGGAGGGATTTCTGGGAGCACAGGAGGGATTTTTGGGAGCACAGGAGGGATTTTTGGGAGCACAGAGGGGATTTTTGGGAGCACAGGAGGGATTTTGGGAGCACAGGAGGGATTTTTGGGAGCACAGGAGGGATTTTTGGAGCACGGGAGGGATTTTTGGGAGCACAGAGGGGATTTCTGGGAGCACAGGAGGGATTTTTGGGAGCACAGGAGGGATTTTTGGGAGCACAGGAGGGATTTTTGGGAGCACAGGAGGGATTTTTGGGAGCACAGGAGGGAATTTTGGGAGCACAGGAGGGATTTTTGGAGCACAGGAGGGATTTTTGGGAGCACAGGGAGGATTTTTGGGAGCAGAGGGGAATTTTGGGAATGGGCCCTGCCCTCACTCTCCTGCTTTTCCCAGTTTTTTCGATGGAAGTGCCCTGGATGGCAGCCCCTCCTCGCAGTTCGCAGAGGTGAGTTTTCCTGCTTTTTTCCCCCAAAATCCAGAGTTTTTTCCTCAGGCATCTTCCCTGGCAGCTCCTTTTCCTGGCAATTTGCAGGATTGGGGGGAATTTTCAGGACACTTTTGGCAACAAGACCCGGCAGGGACGGGCAGGACATGGAAAAGAAGGATTCAGGGAAGAGGCTGGTACTGGCACATCCCGGGATTTGTGGGGGGGTTCTTCCTGCTCCCAGATTTTCCAGAATCCATCCATTCTAAAGTCCAAACTCGTAGGGAATTCCCTCAATCCCGAGCCAGGAATGGGGTCACCACACAGCCAGAATTCCAATGCAGATCCCAGTCTGCTCCCAGTCTGGATTCTTCCTCTTTGCTCCCGTGCTGGGTCCCCTCTTCCTCTGGGATTCCTCCTGATCCCAATTATTGCCTGGATATTGCTTCATATCCCAGAAATTCCCGAGTTCCAGCAGGATCAGCCTGGATTTTGGGATGAATAACACCTGGAAGTGGCCTCCATCCCGTCAGAGCAGCGGGACAACACGGAATGTTTATTCCTTGGCTTTTATTCCTTAATCCAAAAGGATTTGTGGGAGGGGGTCGCCCTGGGGAGGGGGGGCTCTGGCTGTGAATTCCTGGGGGTTTTCCTGCACCCTCTGGAGTGGAGATCCATGGATCTTCCCCCTGTATCACCCTTGGAGAGGCTCTGGGCTGGGAATGGGAGAAATCAGGGAGGAGGTGGGATGAGGCACCACAGGATCCATCCCAGGGGCAGGGAATGGCTTTATCCACAGGGACAGATCCCACAGAATCCATCACAGGAGCAGGGAATGGCTTTATCCACAGGGACAGATCCCCCAGGATCCATGGCAGGGGCAGGGAATGGCTTTATCCACAGGGACAGATCCCCCAGGATCCATGGCAGGGGCAGGGAATGGCTTTATCCACAGGGACAGATCCCACAGGATCCATGGCAGGGGCAGGGAATGGCTTTATCCACAGGGACAGATCCCCCAGGATCCATGGCAGGGGCAGGGAATGGCTTTATCCACAGGGACAGATCCCACAAAACAGCGGGATGGAGGAGCACAGGGATGGGGGATCCTTCCAAATCCACATCCATGTCCTTCCCTGGGGCCGTGAGACCCCCGGGGGGATCCCACGGATTATCCCTCCTCAAATTCCAGCCCTTGGAGAGAGCGAGAGACCGACGCCATAACCTCTGGATTTCTTGGGATAACGGGCATTCCGGGGGGTTGTCCCGGTGGCTCCACATCCCCTCGGGCTACAATCGAGCCTTTTTCCCGGCCTTTCATTCCCGGGAATCCACGGCACCCACGGGACCGTCGCTCCGGCGCCGCGGGCTCCGTTCCCAACGGGATGAGCGCCGGAGCCGGAGGGAATCTCCCCTTCTTTTCCCTTTCCCTTTTCTCCGCAGCTTTGGGACCACTTGGACCACACGATGTTCTTCCCGGATTTCCGGCCCTTCCTGAGCGCCGGCGGCTCCCTGGATTCCGAGGGCCGGGATCCGGATCGGGGCCCCCCGGGAGAGCTGTGGGGGCCCGGCCGCCCCCCCCGGCTGCCCCCGAGCCGCAGGTTCCGATCCCGAGGCAGCTCCCGCCCGGATCGCTCGCCCGCCATCGAGGGGTGAGTGGGAACTCCCGGGGAAAAAACCGGGATCTGGGAAGAAACGAGGGATCCCGGCACTTCCCTTCAGCACAATTCCCAGTGGCTTTCCCCGGCTCGCTGCCGGGGCATTCCCGGTGTTCCCGTGAGATTCCTTCGGAGCTCTCCCTCCATTTCGGGGCTTTTTCCAGGGAATTCCCAGCCGTGAGCCCCTGTATCCATGGGAACGGGATTCCCTGTGTTGCTGCCTATTCCTGCTGCCACCAGTTACTTATGGATTTATTTATTTCACTTGTTTTTCCAGTGTTTTTCCCAGGTTTTCCCTGTCCCAGTGCCAACCCTTCCATTGGAACTCGAGGCATTCCCAGTTTTCCCACCCTGGGATGAATTAAATAATTGACTGATTGATTGATTGATTTGATTTGATTTGTTCTTCCAATGTTTTTCCCTGGTTTTCCTTGTCCCAGTGCCAACTCTTCCGTTGGAAGTCGAGGCATTCCCAATTCTTCCACCCTGGGATGAATTAATTAAGTTATTTATTTATTTATTTAGCTTGTCCTTCCCATGTTTTTCCCAGATTTTCCCTGTCCCAGTGCCAACTCTTCCATTGGATTCTTCCAATGTTTTTCCCGGGTTTTCCCTGTCTCGCTGCCAATTCTTTGGGACTCAGAGCATTCCAAGTTCTCCCACTCTGGGATGAATTAATTAATAAATTTATTTATTTAGTTATTTATTTAACTTGTTCTTCCCATGTTTTTCCCAGATTTTCCCTGTCCCAGTGCCAACCCTTCCATTGGAACTCGAGGCATTCCCGGTGCTCCCACCCTGGGATGAGCTCCCTTCCCTAATTCCTTCCTGCTGTCCCTCTCTTTTATCCAGGGATTTTCCCACTCACGAGCCCTGCAGCCACGCATCCATGGGGCAGGAATTCCCGTTTTCCCCCTGCCCATCCCTGCTCCCACCCTTTATTTATTCACCCCACTCACTTTTCCCACCTTTCCCCCTCCCACCCCTCCTTTCTTTTCCCAGGATAATCCAGCAGATCTTCGCGGGGTTTTTCGCCAACTCGGCCGTCCCCGGCTCCCAACATCCCTTTTCCTGGTGAGTTAAAAATCCCCAAAAAAAAAAAAAAAAAAAAAAAACCCCGGGATGAGCCCCCGGAGGCAGGTTTGGGATGGGGGAGGGAGGAATTCCTGGGCTCTCCCGCCGGCAGGAGCGGGATGCTGCACTCCAACCCCGGGGATTACGCGTGGGGACAGAGCGGCCTCGACGCCATCGTCACCCAGGTGAGGGGCACCCGTGCCGGCTTTGGGGGGGCAGGGGGGAGGGATCCAGGGCCACGGGAATTCCTGAGCCTGGAATTCCCGCTCCTCTGCAGCTCCTGGGGCAGCTGGAAAACACGGGACCGCCGCCGGCGGACAAGGAGAAGATCTCGTCGCTCCCGACGGTGCCGGTGACGCAGGAACAAGTGGGTGGGTGACTCCGGATCCGCTGGCACCTGGAGCCTGGTGTTTGACATCCCTTTGTTCCCTTCCCAAAACGTCCCTTCCCAAACCTTCCCTTCCCAAACCTTCCCTTCCCTTCCCAAACCTTCCCTTCCCTTCCCAAACCTTCCCTTCCCTTCCCAAACCATCTCTTCCCTTCCCAAACCTTCCCTTCCCTTCCCAAACCTTCCCTTCCCAAACCTTCCCTTCCCTTCCCAAACCTTCCCTTCCCAAACCTTCCCTTCCCAAACCTTCCCTTCCCAAACCTTCCCTTCCCAAACCTTCCCAAACTGTCCCTTCCCAAACCGTCCCTTCCCAAACCTTCCTTTCCTTCCCTTCCCTTCCCAAACCTTCCCTTCCCAAACCTTCCCAAGAGATCCCATTTTTCCCCCCCAATCCCAGAATGCCAGTGCATTCCTGGAAGCTTTGGAATGTATTTCCTTCCCCCCCCATTGGAATCCATATGGGAATTCTCAGCTTCCCACCCAGGAGCCAGAGGGAGATAAAAATGCCATTTGGGACAAATTTGGGAGGGAGAAGGAAAAAGGGAACAGGCAGTGCCTTGGGATCAGCTCCCTGCTTTCCCTGGGATGTTTAGGGATGATCCTGGAGATTCCTGGGCTTTTCCCATCCCCAAATCCCTGTTTGTGCTCTCAGCTCATCCCTTCTTCCCTTTCCAACCGGCTCCCGGCGTATTCCAGCCTGGCAATGTCATGGAATGCTGTGCCAGCCGGGAGCTGGGGGTGTCTCGGAACGATCCTGAGATTATTTTGCAATTAAAAATCTCGGGAATTTTTTCCCTCCCCCTCCCAGCCGCTCCCTTCCTGGAATCCGATCCCTCCATTATGGTTAAACCCGGCAATTCCAGGCGGGATATTTTTATCCCATGGTTTTACACCCCCCCTGGGTCCTGCCCTTCTCCGGGAAGCCGAGGACCAGCTGGAATTCCACTGAGCCTACAGAGCACAGGCAGGCTGGGAATCCTGGAATCCTGGACTATCCAAGGTGGAAGGGACCCCCCGGGATCACCGAGGGAGATCCCAGAGCTCCTGTTCCCAGCAGGAATTCTTTGATCCCTGGATATTCCATCCCCAGTAGATCCCACACAAACGACTCAGAAATCCCGGAGCTCCTGTTCCCGGTGACATTCCTTTGATCCCTGGATATTCCATCCCCAGTAGATCCCACACAAACGACTCAAAAATCCTGGATCTCCTGTTCCCAGCAGGAATTCTTTGATCCCTGGATATTCCACCCCCAGTAGATCCCACACAAATGACTCAGAAATCCCGGAGCTCCTGTTCCCAGTGACATTCCTTTGATCCCTGGATATTCCATCCCCAGTAGATCATATATAAGTGTTGTGGAAATGCCAGAGCTCCTGTTCCCAGCAGGAGTTCTTTGATCCCTGGATATTCCATCCCCAGTAGATCCCACACAAATGACTCAAAAATCCCGGATCTCCTGTTCCCAGTGACATTCCTTTGATCCCTGGATATTCCATCCCCAGTAGATCATACATAAGTGTCGTGGAAATCCCAGAGCTCCTGTTCCTGGCAGGAATTCTTTGATCCCTGGATATTCCATCCCTGGTAGATCCCACACAAACAACTCAGAAATCCCAGAACTCCTGTTCCCGGTGACATTCCTTTGATCCCTGGATATTCCATCCCCAGTAGATCCCACACAAACGACTCAAAAATCCTGGATCTCCTGTTCCCAGCAGGAATTCTTTGATCCCTGGATATTCCATCCCCAGCAGATCCCACACAAACGACTCAGAAATCCCGGAGCTCCTGTTCCTGGTGACATTCCTTTGATCCCTGGATATTCCATCCCCAGTAGATCCCACACAGATGACTCAAAAATCCTGGATCTCCTGTTCCCAGCAGGAATTCTTTGATCCCTGGATATTCCATCCCCAGCAGATCCCACACAAACGACTCAGAAATCCCAGAACTCCTGTTCCCAGTGACATTCCTTTGATCCCTGGATATTCCATCCCCAGTAGATCATATATAGGTGTTGTGGAAATGCCAGAGCTGCTGTTCCCAGCAGGAATTCTTTGATCCCTGGATATTCCATCCCCAGCAGATCCCACACAAACGACTCAGAAATCCCAGAACTCCTGTTCCCGGTGACATTCCTTTGATCCCTGGATATTCCATCCCCAGTAGATCCCACACAAACGACTCAGAAATCCCAGAGCTCCTGTTCCCGGTGACATTCCTTTGATCCCTGGATATTCCATCCCTGGTAGATCCCACACAAACGACTCAGAAATCCCAGAGCTCCTGTTCCCGGTGACATTCCTTTGATCCCTGCCCATCCCTGCCCCAGCAGCCCCTCCCTGACCGCCTCCCGAATCCCAGAGCGCCCTCATTCCCGCCATTCCCTGTTTCCCTGCAGACACGGGGCTGGAATGCCCGGTGTGCAAGGAGGACTATTCCGTGGCGGAGCAGGTCCGGCAGCTCCCCTGCAACCACGTCTTCCACAGCAGCTGCATCGTGCCCTGGCTGGAGCTGGTGAGATCCCAAAAAAACCCGGGATATTCCCCTCGGGATAGCAGCTCTGGGGACGAGGGATCGGGGCCACAGGAAGGGCAGGTCCTGTGGGACCAACTCCTTTAAGGATCAGGGGATGAGGGGAAGGGGTGGATGTGTCCGGCTGGAATTCAGCACAGCCTGGGACGATGTTTCCCATGGGATGCTCCTGGAAAAGGCTTGGATAAGGGGTGCTCTGGGGGGGTAGGAACTGGCTGGAAGGCCAGGCCTGGAGGGTGGTGGGAATCCCAGGTCTTTGATCCCTGGATGCCCCATCCCCTGGAGATCCTACACAAATGACTCAAAAATCCCAGAGCTCCTGTTCCCAGCAGGAATTCTTTGATCCCTGGATATTCCATCCCCGGTAGATCATATATAAATGTCTTGCAAATCCCAGAGCTCCTGGGATTTCCTCCCAGTGGTGGGAATGGAGCTGCATCCCACTGGGATCTGGTCCAGGCCTCTGTGATTCCATGATTCTGTGATTCCGTGATTTTATGATTCTATAATTCTGTGATTCCATGATTCTATAATTCCATGATTCCATGATTCTATAATTCCATGATTCTGTGATTCCATAACTCTATAATTCCATGATTCTATAATCTCATGATTCCGTGATTCTGTGATTCCATAACTCTATGATTCCATGATTCTGTGATTCCACGATTCTGTGATTCTGTGATTCCATAACTCTATGATTCCATGATTCTGTGATTCCATGATTCTGTAATTCTATTCCACGATTCTATAATCTCATGATTCTATGATTCTGTAATTCCATGATTCCATGATTCTGTAATTCTATGATCCGTGATTCCATGATTCCCTGATTCCATAATTCCATGACTCCACGATTCCCTGATTCCATAATTCCATGACTCCACGATTCCCTGATTCTATGATCCGTGATTCCATGATTCCCTGATTCCATAATTCTATAATTCCATGATTCTATAATTCCATGATTCCCTGACTCCATAATTCCATAATTCCCTGATTCCCTGATTCCCTGATTCCCCGCAGCACGACACGTGTCCCGTCTGCAGGAAGAGCCTCAAGGGGGAAGATTCCACCCGGCAGACTCCGAATCCCGACGCTTCCGACAGCGCCCTGCAGGAGCGATGGACTTTCTGACCCTCCCCCGGAACGTTCCGGAGCCTTCCGGAGCCTTCGGAGGCCGGAGCAGCCCCCGTTCCGGGTGTACATCGAGAATTCCAACAAACCCCCCCTCCTCCAAGCAGCGGGAATTGGGGGGCCCACCCCCCCCGGGATCGCGGCACCGAGCGCTCTCCTCCCGGGAATTCCTCCTCCCGGGAATTCCTCCTCCCGGGAATTCCTCCTCCCGCTCCGAGGAGCCGCCTCGTCCCTCCTAAATTGGGAATTCTGGGCAGGGATTTTGATTTGGATGGAAAGGGGTGGTGGGTTGTTTTTGGTTTTTTTTTTCCAGTGGGGGCTCCCGAGTCCCTCACGGCCTCCTCTGGAAAAGGGATTTTGGGGGGGATCTCCCCGCGCTCCGGGAAGCTGGAATTGTCTGGGATCGCCTGGAATTGGGGGGCGGGAGGGATTTTATTGCCCCGGGTTGGGTGGAAGCCTCGGGGTCCGTAAAATCAGGGGGCAGCTGGAGGCAGGAGGGGTCTGGAGCCCTTCCCGAAGGGGGGATTGGACCCTCAGGAGTCTGGGAATGCTCTGGGATCAGGAATGCTCCGAGCAGGATTTTGGCAGCTCCAGGATCCTGGACTTTTTTCTTTCTTTTTTTTTTTTTTTTTTTTTTGAAGGGGGGGGGTTTTTTGGGGTTTTTTCAACAGTTTCCCACGGGCCTGTGGCCCCAGGTGGGGCCAAACCTCCCCCCCCCCCCCTCGCCATTCCAGGCAGGAATTATGGACCACGTTGCTCATCCCTTGGGAATTCCCCCCCCCCCCACCTTCCCCAGTAACTTAAGGAAAATCTTTATTTTTGCCGATTCTTTGGTTGTTTTGAGGGTTTTTTTTTTTTCCCCTCAGTTCTGTGAAGTTTCATTCAGGTCTTAATCCTTGGAATTATCCTTGGACTCCTGGGATCCACTGACCCCCCCCCCCCGAGGGGGGTGGGACATTCCCAAACCTCTTGGGGTTGGTGGCTCCGTGTCCACGTGGATTGAATTCCCTGTTTTCTTTGCTCTTCCGTCCAATAAAGGCCTTTCTCAAGGAATTCCCGTTCCCAAGGGATCCTTGGGGCTGGGAAAGGGGGGGTGGGAGCTCGGGAAAGGCTTTTTGGGGAAGGAAACCCCTGATTTGGGGAATGATCCTGCAGGATTTGGGAATGGTGTCCCTGTCCCCCCTCCCTCCCAAGCCGGGAGCTGTTCCTGGGGCAGGAGCCAGGACAGGGCTGTGGATCCGCAGGGATTGGGAAAATCCAGACAGATCCTGGGTTTATCCCGGTGCTTATCCCTGTCATCCAGCATTCCAGCTCTCCTGATGGGAATTTTGGGGGGTGGGAGGGGTCACACCCCCTCCCTTCCTGCTCCCCCTTCCTCCCTCTCCTACATTGTCACAGGAATCAGGAATTCCTTCCCCACGGAGCCGGATTTAATCCGGATTTCGGGCTTTAAATCTGAGGCCAGCACAGGCTGGGATTTGGGATTTGGGATTTGAATCCCCCCCCCCCGTCCCTCCATGTATTTGGGGTCATTCCAGAGGTTTTTCCCGTGCACACACAGGGATGTGGGATCCGGCGGGAGCACGGCCCGGAGTTTTATTGGTGGAGCTGCTCCGTCCATCCCGACTCATTCCCAGCTTTTTTTCCCACTTCCACGTGTCCCCCCCCCCTCCCAAATCCTGGGGAGGGTGGTTGGGGGGGGTGGCTCCGGCCTCACCTGCTCATCCATCCCCCCGCCAGCCCAATCCCACCCCCCCGCCGGGATGGAGCCAAGGGGGGGGGTGGCAGAATCCCGGGATGAACCCTGGACATCCTGGGAATGGCCTCGAGGATCGGGAGGGGCCTCAGTGCTGCTCCTGCTCCTCCTGCTCCTCCTCCTCCTCCTCCTGGGGCGGCTTCGGGCGGGAGAAGAATCCCAGCTGGGGGGGGAGAGGATGGATTGGAGGGGTGGGAAGAACCCCCTGGGGGGGGGCATTGAACCCCCCCAGGTGACACTGTGACCCCCCAGAGGTGACACTGAACCCCCAGGTGACAGTGAACCTCCAGGTGACAATGACCCCCCCCAGGGGACACTGTGACCCCCCCAAAGGTGACACTGAACCCCCAGGTGACAGTGAACCTCCAGGTGACAATGACCCCCCCCAGGTGACAGTGTGACACCCCAGAGGTGACAGTGACCCCCCCAGGGGACACTGTGACCCCCCCAAAGGTGACACTGAACCCCCAGGTGACAGTGACCCCTCCAGGGGACACTGTGACCCCCCCAAAGGTGACACTGTGACCCCCCAAAGGTGACCTTCCCCAGGGGATACTGTGACCCCCCCCCAAAGGTGACACTGTGACCCCCCCAAAGGTGACAGTGACCCCTCCAGGGGACACTGTGACCCCACAAAGGTGACACTGTGACCCCCCCCCAGGTGACAGTGACCCCTCCAGGGGACACTGTGACCCCCCAGAGGTGACAGTGACCCCTCCAGGTGACACTGTGACCCCCCCCAGGGTGACAGTGACCCCCCCTCACCCTCCAGAGGCCGAGGCTGAGACCCCTCAGGGTGACATTGTGACACCCCCCCCTCAGGTGACACTGTGACCCCCCCCAAAGGGTGCCATTGCCACCCCCTCACCCAGGTGACACTGTGACCCCCCCCAGGTGACACTGTGACCCCCCAGAGGTGACAGGGACCCCCCAAAGGTGGCAGGGACCCCCCTCACCCTCCAGAGGCCGAGGCTGAGCAGCGCCAGCAGCAGGAGCCCCCCCAGGGCGCTGCCCCCCAGGATCCACAGGGACACGGGCACGCGCCGGCCCTGGAGCACCTCCAGCACCAGCTGCGGGAAAACAGGGATTGGAGGCGGGAGAAAAAAAAAACAGGGATTTGGAGCGGGAGAAAAAAAAAAACTGGATTTTGGAGGGGGGAGAAAAAAAAAAACGGGATTGGGGGCGGGAAGAAAAAAAAACGGGATTGGTAGAGGGGAGGGGGAAAAAAAAAACTTGATTGGAGGGGGAGAAAAAACGGGATTGTAGGCGGGAGAAAAAAAACAAAACCGGGATGTGAGCGGGAGAAAAAAAAACTGGATTGGTAGGGGTTGGGAAAAAAAAACTGGATTGGAGGGGGCGGGAAAAAAAAAAAAACGGATTGGAGGGGGAAAAAAAAAAAAAAAAAAACGGGATTGGAGGGGGGGAGAAAAAAAAAAAACGGGATTGGAGGGGGGAGAAAAAAAAAAAAATGATTGGAGGGGGAGAAAAAAAAAAAGGATTTGAGGGGGAGAAAAAAAAACGGGATTGTAGGGGGGAAAAAAAAAAAAAGGATTGGAGGGGGGAGAAAAAAAAAAAAAGAAGAGGGATGGAGGGGGGTGGGAAAAAACAGGGAATTTTTTTTTTTGGGGGGGAGAGTCGCTCGTACCTCCCTGCGCTGCCCCCCCTCGCCCAGCACCAACACGCCCCCCTGGACCCCCAGCCAGGCGCTGCCCACGATCCGAACGCTCCGGAATTTGGCCTGGAGGCGAGAAAAAGGTGGGATTTGTCCCAGCCCCGCCCTCTGGATCCTCCCTGGAGCGGGAGGGGAGGGTGGGGGTCCCCAATTCCCGCCCCCCCGGGGCTCACCCCGCTGAAGAAGCCGCTGTGGAGGGTGCGCAGGAGCCGGACCGAGACCCCCCCGCCGCGCTCCAGCCCCCCCAGGGCACAGCTCAGCTCCTCGCACCACGTGTTGGAACAGTCCTGGGGGGGCCAAAAAAAATTCCCAAAATAAATTTGGGACCACACCTTCTCCCCCCCCCCCAAAAAAAAACCCTCCCCCGCGATGCCCACCAGCCTGTCCACGCGCAGAAGGTCTTCGGGGGGCACCGGGACCACCCGTGTCCCCTCGGGGGGGGGTCGCAGCGTGCAGGTGGCCTGGGAGGGGAGAGGGGAGGGTCAGAGGGAGAGGGGAGGG